TTTGAGTCATTTTTCATAGAAAAGTACTATAAAAGTACCCAAAATACTCTTATTGCAGCTTCCTACGTTCAAATATTGGCAGCTTTACACACTCTCCCATGACGGTGAACTAAAACCCTTTGGCGTGAGTACGAAACAAGACATTAGATGACATAATTTTGGGGTTTGGGAGAGACAGACCGACATTTTTCAACATTTTAACACATTTGTCAATAAAATGATTAGTTGACAATGAAAAGAATCATTAGTTGCAGCCTTACTTCCAACCTAGAAATTTCTAGTTATGTCAGGTAGGGCTGCAACTAAAGATTATTTTGTCTATTGGTGTTGTTTGGTCATAAAGTTAATCGTGTGGCAGGTGCTCCTTCCCCACCGAGCTCCCTGTTTCCATCCTCACTGTGTGCCGGTGTCGAACAGTGGGTCACTGCTGCTCGCCCCGAGACACTCATTCTCACTGACTGACTAATCGGTTCTGCTTACTTATATTATTGTAATGTATTTATCATGAATACAGTCCATCTGATGCTCGTTTTGTTTATGTTTTCCCTGTTTCATCACTACTACAAATGCAGCTGTAGCCAGTATTTCACTCTCACTATCGTCATTCATATTGTAAGAAGCTACAAATTATATTCAGCCACAAAATAAACCTGAAAAGCTGGAAATCAGAACGGAAGTACAGAGAGTTGTTGTATAGAGATGATATACCATCTCATCTAGTTGCATTTGTGTGAACCGGCAGGTTTTTAGAATGGTGCAGAAGAGCTTGTCGCAAGTAGTTGCATGTTGCAACTTGTCTCGTCGCGGATCTTTGGTCTGAACTGGGCTTAAAATGTCAGAAGATTCTGGATAAAGTCCCACCACAATTTCTCTGAGACCAAGGTGACATACTTAGTCTGACCAACAGTCCAAAGCCCAACATGATGTAAAGGGATAATTCACATCTTTTGTGTAAGGCACTAATCAGAAGTTGGTGTATTACCTACAATAGATGTTGGTCAGCATGCAGCCAGTTTCTAGAAGCAGGCAGGAGTACCACCACGGAAGCTACGTGATGTACGACTGTGGACAGGGACAGCAGCAACACAGATTTTAACCACCTAAAAAACTGTATAATAGCTTCATTGTGCACTTTATTGAAAATATTTTCACCGCTTTGCCTTGCTGCAGGCAGCCCTTTCAGATGTGGAAGCTGTTACTAGTGTCAGTTTCCCATATATGCTCTCATCAAAGCCAAACTCCATGGAGAAAAACAGTGATTTTAGCTTGCTGAACACAGGAGTTGCTGGTCTACTGCTCCCTCAATCAGTTAGTATGTTTGTGTGACTTTGGTGAATCTCAACTAACCCTTTAAAACACCAAAGCCTCACAAACATACTAACTGATCGAGGGAGCAGTAGACCAGCAGCTCCTGTGTTAAATTAATGATCCTTTTAATGGAGTCTGGCTTTTAGGAGAGCAAAATAACCGCTTCAGTTCCCCTTCAGAAATCTTTGTCTGACAGCAGGGTAAAGCTGTGAAACCATTTTAAATATAGTGTTCACTTAAACCAATTTTGTTTTCAGTAGGTGGGACTTCTTTTTGGGTGTCTAAAATACATTTTGTTACCTCCCCCTCAACAGCAGTACGTTACTTAGCTTCTGTAGTGGTGCTCGTGCCTTCTTCTCCAAACTGGGAGCGTGCCAGCTGACATCTACTGTGTGTAATACACTGGATAAGTACCTCATACAACCTCACTTCAAAAGATTTGAACCATCCCTTTAATATACAGAGATACAGAGAAAAAGCTACCAGTGTTTTGTTCTGATAAAATAATTTGGCTTTTTCACACCAAACATTTTGACAAGCTGCAAATATCTGCAGTGAAAAAGCTCTATTATTTAAATGCGTTTCCTTACTGAGCCTCTCCTGTGCTTACCTTAGTGATGACTATTATAAACAGCATCTGAAAATTCTACAAAGTCATATTAACAGAGCACTTTGGATGCAGCAAAGCAGAAAGCAGGTGCCTGCATAAGTAACTAAATTGCTGCATTAAAACACATCTACTTAACAGTGAGAAGTGCAGAAACAATCCAGGAAATGGGAGCAAAGACTGTGGATTGGCTCTGTTAGAGCTATATTTCCCCCACAGAGCCATTTATCAGTTAATCTCCAGTGGGACAGTAATGCAATGATCCACACATTGAAAGCATTATTATCCATCCAGCTCTCCAAATAGTTTCAATCCTCAGCTGGAGAGGCAGCGATCGGCGTGTTGCTGCTCACAGATAATGGGCTTTAAGATGTCAGTTTAGAGCGAGGTATTAAGAAAGCCAAGGAGATGCGTCATGTCAATATGAGCTGTGAATGAGGCTGTGTTTCACCATATATGACCGACGTAACTTCCTGTGAGAGCTCATGCACTCATTTTGTTTGCATTTCTGTCTTTCCTTGTCCATTTTCATCTATTTCTGTCTGTTCTTGTTTGTTCTGCCTGTCTTTTTGCTGTCTGCATCTTTCTTTGTCTTTCTGTCTGTCTGTCTCTGTCATTTCCAGTCTGTCGTAGGGGTGGCTGATATATCGATTATACTTGATGTATGATGATTATATCACAAAGATCGAGTATAAATTGTCATGTCTTTTTGTTTTGTAAGCCACAGGCACAAACATGATACCTCACACACCAGCCATCCAGACCACTTCCTCCTGGGCAATAGTGTGTGAGCAGGCGAGGCGTGTGTTTTTGTACCTGCAGGGCTCCAGGCTACAACAGTTTAATCACATTTTGCGACCATGGAGCACCACTGTGACTTGCAAATAATATCAAAATATGAACTGGAAAGCTGTTAGTTTGTTTCGCTCACAGTGAATAAATCCTCAGGTTTAACATCACTGTGGTAACGGTTTAACATTCTGCTGACAGCTAACTGTCGATCACGTATAGTCTGAAACATGTAAGTAGCTACATGCCCATTAGCCGACAGCGTCATCATCATCATCATGTTATGAATTGTCTGAGGGTTTTGTCTGCAGTGTGGTGTTTGTGTTGTGGTGTCTTCACTGTAATGTTTTCTGTTTTTTCTGACGGCCACAGACAAGAAAAATTTCCGAAAGGACAATAAACAATATCTATCTATCTATCTATCTATCTATCTATCTATCTATCTATTAACAGGCAGCTCGCTCAGTGTGTGACGTGCACTTGTAGATAAAATATAGGCCTATATTAATGAAGGTTCATTAGTACGGTTTTGTATTTCTCTGTAATGTAGCACAATGTTAACAATGTTACTGATACTATTCTTTCTCACACCTTCAACTCAAACCATTGTGTTGCCCCGCCCAAAATATATCATTTAAGAATTAAATTAATATCGTAAACATGTGGGCGACTAGTCGACTAATGGCCCTAAATGATGACTGTTGGTTTACTAGGAAAATTCTTAGACGGGGGCAGCCCTAGTCATAACAAAGATTAAAAAAATACCGTCATATAAAGTTAAACACTGTTATAATAAAGTTTGTAACCTAATGTCTGTAGTTGACCAATGAAGATGAGTTTACATATCACCTTGGGTTCGTCCTTCACATTCTCAAAATGATCCCACACTTTGGATTTCCTGCCCGACATGTTATTAACTAGCCTGTGGAATAACCGCAGGTACCAGCCCTGGAAATTAACCTGACTCCTGTCTGACTGCTGAGCGTGGACACTTCTTGCGTGTGTCCTTTCAAATTAAATCCCCACATGGTCCAGTCATATAGGTTTTGATTTATTTTGCGACTAAGCGACCAATGAAATCTTGCCGACTAAGTAGTTTACAATAGTTTAGTTTCTTTCTTTCCTTCTTTTTTTCTTTGTCAAAATTCCCACACACAGGTTGATGCAAACTCTTAACCAGCTGCTCAGCTGTTCATATAACATACATAACACATACAGTATGCCTTGGTAGAGTTGTATCACTGCAGAAGTGTTTCTTAGTATCTAAAAGCAAAATTACAAGTAACAGTGTGATTGTACGATCAGCATTACACACATTACTCTGCAGTTTTTACTCTCAGTGACAGGCTCACTCCTCCCCTCTCCTCACCCTCTCCACCCCTCGTTTGCATCGACAGTGTCTGCATGAAAATCAGGCTGTCAGGTTTGACCTACAGACAGCTTCTCTGCTATCCTGTTACTGCTGCGTGTGTGTGTGCAGAGGTGAGCGCTATAGGATTAACTTGAGGTTCATATTGAAGAGTCAGCCACATGTGCCCTGAGCCGTCACAATTTGTTCCTGAGGCAGCAGCTCCCATGAAGCACCATGATACTTTAACACATGAGATTTAGCTGCTGACCTCCATCTTTAGAAGTAACACAGTCAACAAGAAGTACCTGGAGCTCTTGCTGACTTTTGATTGGTCGCTGGAGTGGTAATGATTTGTAATAACTCATTTATTTAGACTGTCAGACAAAGACATCAGCTAACAGGACGTTGCTAATGAATGGCGCTCAATGTAGAAACAGAGGCTTTCCTTTGAGACGTCAGGATGTTTTGATTTTTACTCCCCCGCAGCCATCAGTTAGAGTCACCTATCGACGCGCTGGTATTCTACCCCTCCATCATATCGCTGACCACTCTGCAGTTCTGACATTGATTTATCGCTCCGTTCTCCGTTACCTGCCACACAGTCCCAAAGCTGATACAGTGTGTAACCAAAGACGGGTTTGACCATCATTCACACACGCCCCTGTCAGTCCCCTCCCCCACACACTTACACCTCATTTAAGGGGTTATCGACGTGGCCTCTTTACAGTCACTAGGTTGGGTCCCAGGGAGGAGTCTGAGGATCTCACTCAACAGTAATTGACCTTTTTTCTGCAATGGTGGCATCACTCATGATCAATACTTCCCCTGCAGCATAGGCTGTTCTTATGGAGGATTTTGTCTCTTGCAACATGCTTTGCCTTCAGCTTTAAGAAATTAAAGTTAATGTCATGTAACAGAGATCCTGTTTTTTGTTTTCTCCTATAGGGGAGCAATGTAATGGAGGACCAGGACTTGAGAGAGATTGGGATCACAGACCCAAGCCACAGGAAGAAGATCCTGCACGCAGCACGTTCATTACCAAAGGTGACAAATCATTGATTATTACTTCAATACTCATTTCATCACAGTAAGACCTGATTCAGTGTTTAGCTTTGCTTCTGATGTTAGATCACTAAGGTGCTAATCTCCTCTTAATACCAAGGAAGGAAATGCTGCACTTGTTACTTATTTATTTGTTTTTTGTTCATTATTTAACCAGGAAGTACCATTGAGATTGAAAATATCTTTCACAAAAGAGAGCTGGCTGAGGTGGCAGCCAATCAGAACACACTTAAAATGCAACAAATACAACATATAATACAAAAATCCACAATAAAACAACTATTCAAACATAGTGGCCTCTCAAGAAAAACAAGCACATGTCTCTGTCACCACATTCTTTATGATGTCCTTAAATTCATCAATGGATATAAGTATTTATAATTTTAGACCTTTTTGAAGATTAAAATGTCCAAGGTGCACAGTAGGAGAATGCAGTTTTCCCCATTTCTGTTAAAACCTGGGGTACATTAACACTGCACTGCATTTATCCTTTAAGATAAAGTTACTTTATCAGGGTTCCTGCAGATCCTTAAAAAGTCTTAAAAAGTATTAAATTTGAGTTTGGAAATTTAAGCCCATAAAATGTCTTAAAAAGTCTTATTTTTACTTGTGAGAAGTCTTAAATTTTGAGATGAAACTTAGACTAACGGAGACATGTCTGAAAACCTAATCAAATCTACCTATTACTGTATCTAGTTACATGATTAGTTATGTGATTTTATGACTTTATTACTCATAACGCGGTCACAAGTAACGACATCGAGGCAATTTAGAAGATATACTGAAAAACTTTGGACGATGAGAGTTAAAGCATCAGGCACTGGAGCACAGATGAGATGTGAACATGATGTTTACTGCCGTGTATTAATGCCATTTGTTGGTGTTAAATAGTATTAATTTTTTTTGTTTAGGTCTTAAAAAGGTCTTAAAACGTCTTAAATTTGACAAATTAAATAAAAATTAATTAAAATTAAATTAAATAAAAAGTCTGCAGGAACCCTGTTTATGATGAACCTATAGAATATCATGCAGTGTTAAACCAATTGTTTCTACCCTCTCCTGCTTGTAACCCCTTCCAAAAAACATGTATAGTCGAGGTGATGTCACATTTCAGATTTATATTAGTTGCTCACACTTCCACCAGAAAGTGATTTCCTCTCTAAACTTATCGGATGGTTTCATATAAATAACTGTTCTGTTCTTTGTTGCCCAGAGAACTGAGATTAAACAGTATTTCACCAAAGAAAGACAAGATAAGAGAAAAGTATACCAGTGTGAATACCAATGTGTGCTGCAGAACTTTGTTTTCTTTTCTTTCCGACCCCTAGTTTGAGAACCACAGCACTGAACTACCAGACTGTATATAATGTAGTAACAGAATGAGTACTTCTTTTTGATACTTAAAGTGAATTTAGCTGACAATACCTATGTACTTTAACTAACATGTGGTGCAGGACTATAGTGGAGTTTTTTCACATTGTTGTGTTGGTACTTTTACTTAAAGGCATATTTAGGATTTCTTGTGGGGTTGTATGAGGTGCTTATTCACAGTCAGTGTATGAGACACAGTAGTTGTCAGTCAGCATGTCCTCTAATTGCAGAAGCAGACGGGAGTACTGCCAAAGAAGTACTGCAAAAAATCAATATCAGTTTAATACATGCTATATTTAGAAAATTTTCACTGCTTTACTTTGAAGAGACAGCATTTTCTGATGGGGAAGCTGTTAACAGTGTCAGTTCCCCTTTATGCTTCCGTCAATGCCACCAGACTCCATTGATAAAGACAGTAATTTTAGCTTCCTGGTTTACAGCTGCCTCAATTGGTTAGTTGTTTGTGTTGCTGTGTGATCTTATCGAATCTGAACTCACCTTTTTAACACCAAAATCACACAATAACACAAATTAGGTAAGGCAGCAGTAGAGCAGTAGCTCCTGTGCTCAGTGATGTTAAATTACTGTTTTTCTCATTGGAGTCTGGTTTTGAAGAGAGCAATGTAACGGCAGTGGTGTAGATCTAACCCAGAGCCTGCTACCTCCTTCAAGTCATGCACAAATATACATGTGTGGGGTTACTGTGACAACTTCCTTCAAAGAGTCAGGAAAATTGGTAACAAAGGCAGCATATATTCCCAGACGTTTCCCCAGAACCCTCTGAACAACAGTGAGTGATTAAGTCTTCTCCTACAGGTGAAAGCTCTGGGCTGTGACGGCAGCAACTCCCTCTCCTCCTGGCTGGAGAATCTGGGCCTGCACGAGTACTTACACAACTTCCTGGCCAGCGGCTACCGCACTCTGGACTGTGTCAAAAACCTGTGGGAGCTGGAGATTGTTAATGTGAGTCACAGTGACGTACGTGCACCATGAGGAGTATCAGAGGGTGAAATTAGTTTTACTGAGTGTTAAAGAAAATTCAGGATAAGGGACAAGTTTGACAGTTCACTCCCGCTTCAGTTTGGAGGAGGCTGGGAGCTCAGACTCTGAAGGTGAAGGCAGGACTTCGGTGTTGAATATTAGGGAAGTAGTTTCCAGTGCTTCAGTTGGTTGAAGGTTTAATGGACAGATAAGGAGCCAGTGATATTTAAGGTAGTCATAATTTAAGACTAGTGCTGTATTCAAGTGCTTCTCAGATGGTCCAGTTTCCTGAATTGCAAAGTCATTCTTTCAACTTCAGTGCGTTCATGAGCTTTTCAGTCATAATGTGGAAACAACAAAGATGTGTTGTATTTTATTGCTTTATTGAGTCTTGAATGTGCTAGAAGTGAATATCAACTTTTTGAGAGACAGATTTTATTTGTTACTCTTTTGGAAACAAACTTCGCAGCTCAGTGAGAAAGTTAAATATGCTGCATATCAACGTGGCGCAGTTATGTAAAGGAAACAACATAAAGTGATAACACAAAGATGCTTCAGTGAGAGATATTCCAAAAAAAAAAAATAGACATTTGGAGTCTCATTTAGAGGCTTTAGGTCTTAAGGAAAAGCTGTTATGACAAGTTAAGCAGCAGTGTCTAATGTTTCTTGGTATGCCTCCAACTTTCCGGCATCTCTGCTTCCTCAAGCGCCACTCCACATGTTCACCAGATAATTTCCTCTTTCTTCCAGGTGCTAAAGATCTCCCTACTTGGTCACAGGAAACGCATCATTGCTTCCTTAGCGGAGAGACCCTACGAGGAACCTCCGGTCAAGCCTCCTCGTTTGTCTCAGATCAGGGTGAGGACCTAGAGCTGTTTTACCAACAGCTTTCTAAGGGATACTTGAGAGTGTGATGGTTTTCCCCTCTCTCAGGCTTGGTTTGTTTTCAGTCCACAAACTTTGGAAGCAGGGTTTTTTGTTTAAGATTAAAGACATTACAGTTCATCGCGGGGCAACTAATGTGTCCATCTCTGTCTCTTCAGTGCCAAGATTTGCCTGGATCCCAGACCTCGTCCCCCCTCAGTCAGATGGAGTCCTATACAGGACGCTCAATGGACCCTTTGCTGCCAGTGGGAGAGCCAGGGAGGAAAAAAGTGGCAGACACTGACTATGACGTTACACAAAGATATCGCAGTGATCGAGTCAGATCACATGTACGTTTGGGTTTATCTGTGTCTCTCGTTTCAGCGGTATTTAATGTCCTTCAGTATCTTTTATGTGATATAGTGATTATTATTATATACTTCTTTCTCCAGGAACGGTACGAAGAGCGGCATCGAGAGCCCCGTCTGACCCTGCGGCCGCCGAGTCTGGCAGCACCGTACGCCCCGGTCCAGAACTGGCATCATCAGCCTGAGAAACTCATCTTTGAATCCTGCGCCTATGAAGCCAGTGTACGTTTGTGCCTTAATCCTTCCCACATAGTTTAAGTTTATTTGCACATTTAGATAAAAAGGAATAGAAATGTAGTTTTCACTGAACATATCCACCAACACATTCTCCCTCTCCTGTTCCCTTGTAGTACCTTGGTTCCATGCTGATTAAGGATCTGCGGGGTACTGAGTCCACGCAGGATGCCTGTGCCAAAATGCGGGTAAGTTTGCTCTCCACTCTCAAAGGACAAAGAGGACATAATTCATATAGTATGAGTGAATGGTGAATCGTCTTTACGTCCTTTCTGCCTGTGTCTCTTACTTCCAGAGGTCGACAGAACAAATGAGGAAAGTCCCGACCATCGTCCTTTCCATCACCTACAAGGGTGTGAAGTTCATTGATGCAGCCAATAAGGTTAGCTGCCACCTACACACGCACACACACACACACACACACACACACACACACTGCAACAGCTTACTGTTTTGCACATTATTACAATGAGAAATTACAATGAGATAATGACAAGCCAAACATAAAGTGTCATACCTTATCTTGGGCTGGTTTGTTTGTTTGGTTTTTAGTCTAGTTCCTCTTTGGTCTTGTGCTGTGTCATGTGTTTCCTCTTCTATATTTGATACTTGCTTAACATCTTGTCAAACAGAAAATGAAACGAGGCAAGGTTACATTGTAGTATCACAGATAATGGATCCGTTGTGTCCATGACTGACCCTGCATGTCTCCAGTCTCAAACTGAACCCAGTGCTAATAACAGTATGTTTTGTTTTGTAATATATTTGAGAGTGTTTAAGTCAAGCATCACTCTGAAAAGTTTTTTCTGCGATTGTAAATGTCATTTGTGCAAGTTGATGTCAGATTTGTTTATGTTTGATGGGGAGCAAGTCTTTTCATATTGGCATTTATTTGACATTCGTAAAGAAAGACATTGAAAGGTTGCCTTGGAAGCTCAGCCAGGTATTTATGGCTACACTTTCCTGCGATGGCTGTGAAGTACGATTTATGCCTCAATGTCTCCACTTTACTGGCTGTCGCTTGGGATAGTTATAAATCATAATGCGTTATCACTTAGAACATTGAATTTCTATTATTAAATAAAAAATGTGGGTAAGACCGAGCTTGGGCAGCCTCCCTCCTCAGGGTCTCTGAGCTGTCCATTATGGGGTGAGTGGTAACCTAGAACACAACCTAATCAATAAGATACCCCTCTGCCCCAACAAGTACTATCCACCTCTGGACATGCGGACTGCTGGTTTGATGCCTCAGTATCTGGGTACTGGCCCTCACCCGCCCTCCATCAATAACACACTATATTTACACCCACAACCAACATGGCGATCCTGTAGACAAGGTCCTGCTCCCTATGAAACTGCTCATTCTAAGGTACCGACCTTTAAGAGGAAAAACGAAGTCCTGTATGACTTAGGTTTAGGGCTGCCCCCGATCATTTAGGGCCATTAGTCGACCAGTCACCTGCATGTTTACGATATTAATTTAATTATTAAATGATATATTTTGGGCGGGGCAACACAATGGTTTGAGTTGAAGGTGTGAGAAAGAATAATATCAGTAACATTGTTAACACTGTGCTACATTACAGAGAAATACAAAACCGTACTAATGAACCTTCATTAATATAGGCCTATATTTTATCACAGGGAGTCTCATGCTGCCTCTCCTCTTGTTGCAGAACATCATCGCGGAGCATGAGATCCGTAATATTTCATGTGCAGCCCAGGACCCAGAGGACTTGTGCACATTTGCCTACATCACCAAGGACCTGCAGACCAGCCACCACTACTGCCATGTGTTCAGCACAGTAGATGTGGTAAGGATCTTCTCACTGTCTCGTTCTGTCTGCTTATTCTGACAAGCATTTGTGTTAGCCTAACAAACGATACTAGAAGGAGAATTTCTACTGAGTGTTGAAAACGTTTCTAACTGATAGATTTGAATTCCTCCACCATCACTTCCGGTCCTCACACTGAGGAGATGTGACAGCCTGCGTCGTCAACACTGTTATCTCTAGACTGCCCTATCTCCTCAAGGTGTCACGCCTCAGTTGGGGCTATTGCCTCCTCGTAGACACAGTGCTACTCCGGCCATGATAACTACCCCTCCATTACCTGCTCTGTCCCCCCTGCGATCGGATGATTATCCTGCTAATCTGCCTCATAATGCAGCCACGGTCACTGTCGACTGAAGTTGACACTAACAATGCTCAGTGTTTGTCCTGTGCCTTGTGTTGTCCTCTGTGTGGCTAAAACAAGGGGCTGCTGCTCAGAGCTAAAGCAGCCTGATAACCATCAAAGGCAGCAGTGAGATGTGATCAGTTATTTTAGACTGTATTGACCACACTGCTGCTATCAGCCTGCACCATCCTCGCCACACAGAGAGAGAACACAGAGCTGATCACGTCTGTTTGGCGCAGAAGAAGGGGACACATCAGGGCATTAAGTAAACAGACGACGGGGTTTGTGTCAGGGCAGATTCTTCAGCGGAGGAAATGCTGATGATTTCTGGGCTCTGTGTTTGTGTTCCCATCATATGATTGCTTTTTTTAACTTCCCAAGGCATGTAGTGTGAAGCTTGAATCCTCTGTCTTCAGTCTGAGCTGCCTGCTCATATCTGGAAGGGTGTAACAATAGAGTGCAGCTTTAGTACTAAGCTACAGCGGATGTATCCAGTTCAGGTACTGAGGGGAGCTGCTTGCTGCTGCACAATGCTCCCGAGATTACTGCCACTCCTCCTTGTTACGCAATTTGGTTTTGAAGAAGTTTTAGGGGAAAGAAACTTTGTTCTGATATTTTTTTGCTGTTTCACTGCAGTGTAGTGTTGTTCGCCGGGCGGGGAGACTCAGAGTCCAGAATACTTAAAAGGGCTGCCTGCTCCTCCTCTTTCTCCTTCTCTGTACAGAACCTGACCTATGAGATTATACTGACGCTCGGCCAGGCGTTTGAGGTAGCCTATCAGCTGGCTCTGCAGGCCCAGAGGACCAAACAGCACCAGAACCTCCCAGCGGGACCCAGCTCAGAGGTCATTGAGACCAAGTCCAGCCGACCTGTACCTAGACCACGAGGCAGCGTACGGAAGTCAGGGGTGAGTTGGACATCAACACACTGTAGCACAAGATGTGAACACACCCTGGAATAGTTTATCGGCCACATTTTAAAGCTGGAGTGCGGAACTTTAACATATGAATGAACATTGTCAGCCCTGTGATAGTCTGGTGACCTGTCCAGGGTGTACCCCACCTCTAGCTTAATGTCAGCTGGGATAGGCTCCAGCCCCCCGTGACCCCTAACAGGTTAGCGGTTATGGAAATGAATGAATGAATAAGTGTTACATTCAGTCCTGAGTTCATACAATACACATTAAGCCTCATTGTACCAGAGTTTAAGTGTTGTATCTTTAGCAACGTTTCCGCGCAGGTGCACTGGAAGTGATGTGTTTCACGTCAACCAACCCAAACAAATGAGGAGCGAGATTCATTTATTTATTTTACGTTAGATTTGTTTCAATTTTGTTTTCTTTTTGTTCTGCACTGCTTTTCTCTTTGTTGTTTTGCTTTGTCGTTTCATCTCAATGCTTCATCTGTGTGTGGGATTCTGAGGTTTTCTTCCGATACTTTGCATGTTGACAGTTTGAAATAAAGATTCTTTTAAAAAGGAAGCAGGGAAAGACTAAGTGATGGAGCAGCAGCTCAGAGTATGGCAGAAGCTATGGTGTCCAAGAAAAATTTCTGGGGGTGCATGCTCCCAGGGTGTCTGCAGGTTCTTAAAACCTTTAAAGTCATTAAATAGTCTTAAATTTGAATTTTTGAGCCACAAACATTGTGCCTAATTTAATTAATCCATCTTTTCATTTCATGTTGTCGAAATTAGCCATGTTATTTTGTGTTAAATTTCACATTTTTGATGGTAAACATTTTAAAACCTACTTCTGAACTTTATCCTTTCTCTTTACTTTATAGTTGCGCTTACCTGTTGGCAAAATGTAGGGTAAACTAATTTCCTCTTATAACCATACTACCTCTGCACAGGACCACATATGTACGACTTCAAACTTATCTGCAATGCTCGGGAAAAAAAAGATGAGTTGTCCAAAAATCTGTCTTAAAGGGTAACAGCATCTAAATTAAGAATTCTGATATTTTATTTCCACGGCCTTGGACAGCTCAGTCAATAGTTGTGAATATGATCTACTCTCTCTCAAAGCTAGGAATCGAAGAAGTACGTCTCAAACTTGTGATGTTGTAGGATATAAAGCCTGGAACCTGATTTTGTGGACCCACAGAATGTTCGGCTCCTCAAATGAGCTTAATTGTACTGTAGTCTACTTAGTGCTAAAACAGAAAATGTGTCCATATATACTCAGAGGATTCACCTTGGTGCTCTCACTGTCATCTAGAACAGTGGCTCCCAACCAGTGGGTCCAAGGTCTATTCTGAATGGACCACAAGTGACTCGCAAACATGTCAAGTTTGTTAAAAAAAAAAAAAAAAAAACACTTTATTTTACATCACAAATTAAAGATTTAGCACTCTAGTTTTTGGATATGGGAGAGAGGTGTTCGTGTTTACTTGTATATTTGGAATGTCTTAGATCACAGGAACAGCATGTATGCATTTTGAAAACAGTTGTCGTTCGTTAAATTTGGGAATGAAAAAGTTTCTGATACCAGTAGACACTCTGGATGTTCCAGATATAAAAATATACCCTGCCCTCAGAGGAAGAATTAAAACCGAAAGACTTGAAGAGAGCACTCCTGGGAGCGAGGGAGATGTGGCAAGCTCACCTGCAGGCGTACATTGTAAACACGCGTCAACAGTGTAATTACTGTCACCGCCAGAGGGGGGAGACACAAGTTCCGCACTGCAGCTTTAATATGGGCACGTGTTCTGCAGTACAGGAGTATTTTCCTGTCCCTGACATGTGCTTTTTCCTGTTCATTTGGTGCTAATTTCATGCTCTGTGTAGCGCACATGGTGCAGATGTGGAAGGAGAGGCGAGGGGTACGGTTGTCTCAGTTTTGTCTGTAGGAGGGGCCACAGTGTCAGACTTTGAAACCTTATGACCTCGTGCAAAAGGGCCAGATATCTGCAAAATTCAATATCTAGGTCTTTTAGTATAAAACTGAAAAGGAAGAGGTCAAAACTACAGCAACACTAGCTGTATAAAAGTATAAAGAACAACTTTCTTGTATTGTTTTGATGTCTTCAGTCTGTCTTCCTTCTTCATGTTCCTTAAAAGTAGGTTAAGTTGCACCAGAACTCCTTTACTCAATGTAAGTCTGAAGCATATCGTACATCACTGAGTCATCCCGACACCTGATGTAATAATTGTGTTTTCAGAGAAACATTATTCCAGCCTTTTCAAATCAAACCCTCGCAGCACATTAGACGAGTCTTAGTGCGTCTGTATCAGGCTACAGCTCCTCACATCATTATGATCGCACTGTGCTGATGTTTGTCTGGCCATTAGCATTAAACCATTAAGAAGTGAGCCCTGTCCTGAATATAAATGAGATAACTACACCTCAGGGACCAGTCGCACATCTCCGGCTGCAGCTTAATGAACTCGACAGCGTCATGTTAACAATGTGATGTTTACTGTCACTGCTGTGTCCCCTCACCTTTTGATATTTATTTTTGTTTAATCAGATGCACTGTGACCTCACACTCCCACAGTGACACACATGCACACCTGTATAACAGATCAGACTGCTCCTGCCTCATGCTACTCAAACCTGTGTCAATTTCTCTCCCTTTTATTCTCTCTCTCTTGCACTCTTTCACCCCTGCTTCTTCTCCTCCTCCTTCTCTCTCTGTGTTCTTCTCTCCTCTCTCCTCCTGGCGGTGTTTATCTCTCCCAGGACTCTCCTCCTCTCGACAGTCGTTGCTGTTACTGTTACACCTGCACCACCCACCGTCCCTCCTTCCTACCGCTGCACTCTGCCAGCCCTGCTGCCCAGGTGCTGCCTTCACATCCTCATCTCCATCCTCTCACACTTTGCTCCTTCTTTCCTTTTTTTCTTTGTGTTTGGCGACCCACAATCCTCCATCCGTGTCTCTAACCCATTTTGTTCTTTGTGAATTCATATTGCTGTCAATGTATCTTTTACTGTTGTCTGTAGACAAACATAAATGAGCTCCACTTACCTACACTGAGCCACACGTGGACCGATGAATGCTCTGATTATTACTTTTGACTCAGGCGCCCCCTAGTGACAGTTTGGTAGTAACACAAGCAATGTTTATATCCCCAGTGGAACTGTAGTTACATCAATGTAAACACACTTGTATAAAAATCCAATATATATGTAAATAAATCAAATTTTAAAATGTAAAACAAGTCCAATATAAAGTTAGAGAAGAGGTTATAGAGTGTACAACAAAACTTTATGGATAAATCATTGGCCTGTTGGTATTAGGATACAGTTGATAACTTTTCCAAAAAAATAACCTTTTGTCATATTTGTTGAAACTGTCACTACATTGCCATTAGCCTTAGAGACTGGAAGATTTAACGCCACGCCAGAGGAGGACAGAATTGATTTCTTTTGGCTGGATGCACATGAAAAATTTGAGGGTTGTTTCAGACAGGGAGCCTTTTTCCTGACTGAATTTCTTTGCCAGGCCTGGGATAGAAGGCAGAGTATTCTGTTTCTGGTCTGAGTCGTTAAATTACATGTGCTTTGGATTGTTACTGCAGCGTCACTGTAATGGTGTCTTGTAAACCCATGAGGGTTGGGCACGTGTAAGTGTGCATGACAGAAAAAAAAAATTAATCAATCAATACAGACATACAGTCTGTGAAAAAAAAAATCATGTACCTTCTCCTCTCGTTCTGCTTTTAATGGTCTTTGCCAGACTCTACTGTGGCGCACCCAAAAAAAAACCAACCAATTAGACGACTGATCACAGATCATCTGTCTCACGTAGCGCTGTGTGAATAGTCACAGTTTCAGAAAATATGACAGAAAGTTATAATTAGAAAAGTCAGCAATAGGGGTGTATGTATAGCTGCACCAATTAATTGATTAGGTCGCTGTTAAATTAATCGCCAACTGATTTGATCATTGATTAATTGGTTTGAGTAATTTTTTTATGAAAAACATCTGAAATCTCTGATACTACTGTAGCTTCCTAAATATAAACATGTTTCTGGTTTCTTTAACCCTCCATGACAGCAACCTGAATGTTTTTGGGTTGTGGACAAAACAAGACATTTGAGGATGTCATCCCAGGCTTTTGGAAACCATTTTCTGACATTTTTTAGACCAAACAAGAATATTAGACAGATTATTCAACAATTAAAATAATTGTTAGTTGCAGCATTAGATGTATGCAACATCATCAAGTGTTTATAAGACTATGAAATAAGACATTAACCAGGGTATATCTGCATGTGCACATAGTCACAGTCAGTGACTGTCCAGTCAGTCCGACTGTTACTGACCAAACCTTCACTGATCAGCCACAATATTAAGACCACTGACAAATAAATTAGAAGTGATCATCTAGTTGCAATGCATTGTTCTGCCAGGAAACCTTAGGTCCTGGCATTCATGTGGATGCCACTTGACATACCACCCACCTAAACACGGTTACAGACCAAGTACACCCCTCATGACAATGGCACTCCCAGATGCCGTGCTGCACCGCCGAACTGCTCAGGAATCACCTGAGGACTGTGATAAAGACCTCAAGGCATCGACTTGCCCTCCAAATTCTCCAGGTCCCTATCTGATCGAGCATTCATGGGACACGCCGCTACCCCACCTTGCAACCCACATGACTTATCATCAACGCCATGGTGCTGGATACTTTGACAGGTCAGAGCCAAGTCTGTAACAAGGAGGCCCCACCATGGACTTGGCTCTGGGGTATCAGCACATCCCACAGATGCTTGATCAGCTTGATTTGGGGAATTTGGAGGCCAGGTTGACACTTTGAGCTCTTAGTCACTTTCTTTGGGTCATTCCTGAGCAGTTTTTACGGTGTGACATGGCGCATTGTTCTGCTGGGAGGGCCATCACCACAGGGGAGTGTCGCTGCTATGAGTGGCGTCCACATGTATGCCAGGACCCAAGGTTTCCCAGCAGAACATGGCATTGTAACAGACAGATCAACGGTATTCACTTCACCTGTCAGTGGTTTTAATGTTGGTATGTTTTCACTGAGTTAATTAGTTTGCAGCTGTTGAGAAGCTGAGCGTTTGATGCCCTCTGTTTGTGTTTCCAGGGCGACATCGTGGAACAGGAGGGGGATTCTCAGTCCCAGGGCAGCGCTACATGGCTGGTGGACCCCAAGGAATCCAAGCGCACTATCAGCACTAAGTACGAGACCACCATATTCTGATTGGACCCCTCTTCCTTCTGACCTCTGACCTCTGGGCCTGGTCTCACCCCTCTTCCTCCCCCTCCTTCTGTGTGCCTTTCACTGTGACTCTGCCTCCCCCTCTGGGCTGGACCCCTGCTGCCCTCCCCCGTCTCCCTTCAGCCATCACTCGTCTACAACAGTCTGCGAGTGCTTTGCTCCTTCCTCCTGCTAAACCACCACTTTTAGAGATAATTAGTGCAACCCTTCCGCTTTTAAAACCCTCCTTCTCGCAGGTACCGCTCACACCTCCAGCCTGCCGCTCACCTTCACTGTTACTCTCCTCTCTGTTTACCTTGTATGCTTCCCGTGCACAATGCTTCCTTTCTCTCCCCCAGTCAACATCCCACTATTGACTCTTGATGATAAGCTCTTTCTTTTCTCGGTGCTTTTCCTGCTCTGTTAGGCGACGGCCACTCTGAGGCTTTTCACTCTCGATCTCTCAACTTCTCCGAGCGCTGAGAAAATCTGATTGACCGCAACTGAGAGTGACGCTCTGCACACATCCTGTACCTGGATGGACATGTTTCCTGAGGAAACTGACAAACTTGGGCCTGTAACTATGCGTCAGTTGGACTTTAGCAGACTGTTCGGTGGGACGGAGGTCACGATGTTATTGAGGTTACACAGGATTTACTAAGGGGGGGGTATTTTTCCCTGTCAGCAGTCTGCTCGAAGCCAAAGGAGGCTAAGATCCTAGCACTGTGATAAGGTCCTTTAGGAGCTAATAAAGTAAGCATTTTGGGGGATTTTCTAGCAGGGGATAAGGGGAGCAGAATAGGGCGTAACAGCTGGCATGGACCCGCATGTTAGTGGTCCAAGCTGCGCTGGAAAAGACAGTCCAAACTGTCTTACAACTGGCATGCCCTCCTCTGTGTATCAATCAAAGCAGCAGGATTTAAACCTGATGCTTCTTCTGGAGTGAACTAACTATAACTAAGCACTTTTACCAAATCCCCAAGTGTGTGAGAACAAGTGCATCTTCCTCTGTCCTGTCTCTTTGCTTTCTTCTCTTCACAACAAATGCCTTCTCTGTTCATCCTGCCTTTTATTTCGCCAATCACCACACAGTTAATATTTCACTGGTGAAGAGTTAATCATTATAAAGAGGAGCGGGGGTTTCCCATCACCGTCATGCTGTTTCTGTCCATTAGTTGTGGTTTTTTTTTTACTTTATTTTAACCTTGTTGCTTTGTGTGCGTGTGTCTGTGTCCCTTCCCCATAGCTGAACACTGTGGCCTCTCCCAAGCCAGTAAGAAAGGACAGGATTGAGCCCTGTTGCATGGTGGGTAAGGTGTTTTGTTGGGCCAAAGCAGCAGAATCACATCAGCAGGTGGATCAAGCTCGCCACAGTAACACACAGGCCTGGAAGCAAACAGACATAAAGCTTTCAAGAGTTCATCACCACACACGCACGCTCAGTTTAACTTCCTGTCCGTCAGAAAGTGACACTCAGATGTATTTGTTGTGCTTTATGTATTTCCTCTTAATACGTATCAGACCTCCCTCATGAAGGCTGGTGTTTACTCTTTGAGGAAATGTACAGGCAGTGTCACAACGCAGAACTTGTAGTGAAAGGGGAAGTGGCTCAGATAAGGAACATGAATTTTTATGTCATGATACAAAGGTACAAACTATCAGACCGAGACCTCACACTGTAGGCACACACTCCTTCCTGGATCATTCGTCCTGTATCCACACATTGTAACGTCTCTCCACGACCATCAGCTCGTCATCCCAAACATACATGTATAACTGTGATAAACGACGTAATCTTGCACGGGAGGAGCTCTCTAACCAAAGGGCAGAGGAACTGACACTACAAAGACTGTTTTATAACGATATAATATAACGGGGTGGCTTTTATTTGATTTGAAAGTTGTTTTGTTTCTATGTTTTAATTGTTATCTAGGACAACGATGTGTCCTAATGCTGGAACTGGATCAGTTGTGGTTCACTTCTCCTTCCCTGCTCCTTTTGTTCAGTTAATCTTGACCAGATTATTCACCAAACCTGCCATGCAGGCTGGTGCGTCTTTAGATTTTAGCTGCAGAACAGAACAATAGGGCAGAGCATGTTTCTCCTAGCTAACTCCCAGTATGTTGACTGTTAATGGTACTTTCTGGTCAGCCGATGTGTATATGGGTACATTAGTCAGGTCGTTTTGATTTAACTGTTGTATATGTGGTACGTTGTCAGGCCAGCACGATAGCTCTATGGTACGCTGTCGTCGGCGCCTTCGGCCATCAGCCTGGTCCCGTTCTGCTTTTGCACATTGTTAAGGGTCAGAGAGATATTTAGGGACTAATCTGATGACGACAATGATGAGAATGATATTGTACATGAATCTAGCGGTCTGTATTTTGATACTTGAATGATTTTTGCTTTTATAGATATCTATATATATGTATATGTATGTATGTAATTTTTGACGTTTGTCAAAAGAGAGAAAAGGACTATGTCTTATAAAGTTAAACATATCGTGAATAAATACCCTGTGATTTAAAAAAAAAAAAAAAGGCTGAGAAAACAATGACTCAGAAGAGGGACCTCACTTCAGAAAAAAAAGATTGTAAATAATCTTGGGCTTCCAGTCTTTTTTATGATTATTTTTCATAATTGTACGACTAATAAATGGCGCAATTAGAAATGCCGACTCCTGACTCTTTATTTGTCACTGAGCTTTTTTAATGTGGAACGTCTCTTGCATTTCTTCTCCCCAAGTTTGACAGAATCATCCGTCAGATTGTGACAAGCTGCAGATCTGCCGCAGGCATCACAGCTCAGTACTGTCTCCATTTGTCAGAGGGCGAACGAGGTCAGTGGATGTGCCAGGATGAAATGTTTGGTCTCCGCCCTCCATATCCACTTTATAAACCTTTCTCTGCTGAAGGATGGAGCCCACAGCTCAGAGCGACTGCAGGTGTAACACAGTGCAGGAGATAAAAGCACAGAGGTTCAGGTACATGAGGCAGCAATACAATTTCATCAAAACTTTTTCTGTCAGCTACCTCAGTAACTACAGACAAGCATGTTCCTGCAGTAAATTTCTCTGCATTTAAAGCCAAAGTCCAGCTGTACATGGAAAAACTCCAGTGATGGAAGTACTCACATCTTTTATTTAAAGATCCAGTGTGTAGCATTCAGTGGCATGTATTTGCAGAAGTCTAATATAATATTCATAGCTATGTTTTCATTAGTTTATAATCGCCTGAAAATTAGAATTTTGTTGGCGTGGAATGAGACGTTTATATCTACCTACACAGCAGGTCCTCTCCCACGGAGTCCACCATGTTGTTTCTACAGTAGCCCAGAACAGACAAACCAAACACTAGCTCTACACAGGACCATTTGTGTTTTCTTGTCTGCCACCACAGTTCTGCTACACGCTCAGCACACAGGAGAAGTTTAATTTCTGCAACCTCACCACTAGATGTCACTGAATCCTCCACACTGGACCTTTAACTCTTGGAGTCTGGAGCCCCATCACTTTTCTTGTGCTGCTTTCAGACGCCTTTTGCAAGTTTTTTAATAAAAGTAGGTTAGTAACACCATGTGGCAACCTGCAGGGTTAAAAAATGAAGTCAACACTGAAGTGCAAAACGCTGCAGTTCTTTGAATGACCACTTGAGGCCAGCTAAAATGCCCAACTTTGCAGCAGAAATAAACATGTTTACAGCCTGGTACAAAAACAGTTTTGGTCTCTATAGCTAGTTTAAACATTCATGCCAACTGAACTTGAGCTGAACTTTTATGTAACTCACCTGTTAACATTGTTTTTAAGGTTAAAAGATGAGCATGATTAAGCGTGGGCCGCTTTGAGTGACAGGCTGTGTGCTGATATTGTCCTCAGCTTCTCAGTCAGATCCGCACCTCGCTCCTCCACAGCTCCAGCCTCTCACCCAAATATGGGCTGCATTCCGAATCGCATACTATTTCTTCTTACTTTCAGTATGTACTGCAGCTGTCCTTAAAAAGTATGTACTGTTGCATGCAGTATGCACACAATCAGGACATTCTACTTTCTCATAATATTATGCCCTGAACTTTGACCCTCTTGATTTTATATCCATTACCCTGGAGATAAAATTTAAAAAATGCCAGATCAAAACGGAGATCAACCAGGGGAGCTCTGCTGTTGTTACTTTGCAATGTATGTAGTTTAACTTAAAGTTATAACTGTGCAGTTTTTAGATTCTATCATATAATATTTGTGACAGTGAAATTACATCTGCAGTTCTTTGTTGTTATTTTTATAGTTATGTCCTTTTGTTGTTTGTGATATTCAGGATTATTTTTGTTCACTTAAACAATATTCCTATTATTACTATTTGACTGGTCATCATTTACTTGAATGTGCATTGGGACTTCCTGACAACTGTCAGTCAGCTGACATCTGTTTGCAGCTCAGTCAATGTGACGTATCGTCGGCTGTGCAGAGGATTGTGGGTCAGAATAGACAGAAAAGCATGCTGGCCTGTATAATGCAAAATCGGACCGGATGTAGTAGAACAGCTTTGTATTTCTGGCATATTGCATTTGACATACTATGTATTGGGACACACTGTATCTTTTTCTGGCATACTATATAGTATGGTAATATATGTATTGGAAAGCACAAATGGTCACTTCTGGCTCCAAAAACCAAGATGGCGACAGCTGTAATGCAGAAGTCGAGGCTTCAGAACAGGAGTCCACAAATCAATGGGTGACGTCAAGGTAGCTACGTCCATTATTGTTACAGATAACAAGTAATACACACAACAGAAATAATCCACTGCAAGTAAATAACTTCTGAAATAATATAAATATATACGTGAGTATGACGTACAGTTTTTGCCTCTGAGATGTGGTAGAGTAGAAGTATGGAGTAGGAGAGGATAGAAATACTCAAGTGCAAGTACCTTAAATTTTATCCTGAAGTGCAGTACCTGAGTAAATGTACTTAGTTACTTTCCACTACTTATTAAGTTAAGGGTTTTTCCTTGTCCACTTGACTCTATTTATCCTAATGTAGATCTGTGAATAAATTTAATATCTATTACTTTAAAACTCTAAGAACAACTGTGTTTTAATTATTATTTTGTGTCCTTGTTTATTTTTATCAGCTCAGATTAATTGAAATGTTGTTTTTGTTTATTTTAATTGCTCCTGTTCCAACTTGTATATTAATATTACTTTTTTTATCTTTGTTAGAAGGGAAATAAATCAAGAGAGGAAAATGACTACAGCTGTCAAATGTGTCGGGAATAATAACTAATCAAACTCAAAATAATTTTGGAGTTTGTGAATGTATGGATGAATCAATGTTAAAATACATATTTTGATAAACAACCAACAGTTGGCAGCCCATAGTTCACAAAATAGTTAATAGATAAATATTTAATAGTTTGATAAAAAATTATGTGTCATCTGATTCTTGTCATCTGATTTCTCTTGTTTTGTTTTGATAGTTGTGCAGTGATGAGGCTGACAGGCAAAAAAACCTTCATACTGTCTGTGACACTGATTTTATTTTGAAAAACAGCAAGTTAATATACTGTTGTTATACTGTGACTATTTTCCCAATGATCTAAAATAACTAAATTGCTTTAGGCCTTAAATTTCAAATGACACTGGCAGAAATAAAGTCAGATTGTTTTAAGATTTGAACTTTGAACTCTTCTGGAAAGCAGAATGCAGCCAAACATGTCATGTGACACTTACACCGCCTCCTACACTAACGCTGCATCATATCTTTGGTTCAGTGATGTAACTGCTGGTATGAAAAATATGTTCTTTATGTAAAGTTGTTTTGTTGGCCAGCACAAAAACACCAGCAGGACAACAGATCCGGTGATTTCTGGGACAGATATATGAATTTACACGTCTGCTCATTTCCATAGATATGCAACAGACGTCACAAATGTGAGCTGCTGTTCCTGGAAAACAGATCGACTTGTGGCATGCTGATTGTGAGGCTGATATCTGCAGACAGGACGGCTTTGTTCACAAACTCTGACATGCACAAACTGACAAACTCTTCACAGCAACCAGCCTGTAAACACTCAGAATAAGTGGTAAAACAAGCCAGGTGGAATTTGGTTTTTAGGACATGAGTATGAACAGAACACAGTTTCATGGTGCAACTTTCTAACATGGAACCATTTATTATTTTATGTCTTATTTATTTCAAATATAAGAGAAAAAATAAGTTCTCTAGATTGGTTATAAGCCATTAAGAGAAACCGGTTTGGGATTACCAGGCTGGCTGGTTGATAAAATTGCAGGTATAAATGTAATCCATTAATAAATAGTTGTGGGTTTTACAGCTCCTAAACAGGTCTGTAGTTGTAAACATTATTCATAAAGATTAAACCATCCACACTGTAATTTGTAAATGTCTAGAACGTGTCAATGATACAGTCCATCAGAAGGGTCTCACTGACGAGGCCAATTAAAGAGCCAAAAAGACAAAACTGTGTCACTTTGATTTAATGGATTGCTGTGTAACTTTGTAAAGACACTCAGAGTCCTCAGGTGATGAAGCCTAATGACTGCTGATCCCCAGACCTACATCTTGTGCCACCATGACATCGACATTTGTGGTTCAGAAATGTTGGATGGTTGCCATCACATTTCCTACAGATATTTAAGGTCGCAAGAGGATACACTGTAATGACTTTGGTGATCCTCTGACTTCTCCTGTAGCGCCACCAACAGGTCAAAGTGTTCTGAAATACTGTGACATATGACAACATCTAGGCCAGGGGTAGGCAACCTGTGGCTCTGGAGCCACATGTATCTCTTTAGCCCTCCTCCAGTGACTCCCTGTGACTTTGAGGAAAAATTATATGGAAATGGATAACAGATATTTAACTTTTTTTTTTTTGCATTCTTACATATTCCAGTTGTATAATTGTGTAGCCTGTACACCGAATAAAAAAAAATGTTTTAACATCTCATCAACTATGTGCATGATTCGTCAACACCTTGGTGCCTTTTCCTTAAATTTGCTCAATCTCAATACAATGGATGAGCTTGAGTCTCCTCAGTGAGGCTCGCTATTTATTTCAAATCCAAAAAAGAAAACGTCTCTGAGGCAAATAGCGAATTTCATAGTAAGTGGACAGATGTGTTTGCTGTCACCACTAACGCTGCAAAGTTTAAGCACCAAATAATCATAAATAACCCACTGCAGAGTGGCTATTTTGTTGTAAAACATATTCATGAACAATTATTTAAACTTATTAGGAATGTTTATAGGCAAATTTAGATTAAGTAGATTGTGTTGTGGTCACTTTAAGACATAAATATGTCTTGCGGCTCCAGACAAAGCAAAAAACATCTCTTTTGATAGCAAAGGTTGCTGACCCCTGATCTATGTGAAGTATTGGCACAGCATTTCATACATACCTTGATGGTTTCCAGATGATGTATCCTAATGACTTTGGTGATCCATTGACTTTAACTCTAGCGCCACCAAGAGGCTGACATTTTTGGGCTTTATTGAAATGTCTTGAGAAATACCAGAAATGTGTTACACCCATGTATTTAAATGTATCCAGTGTGCCAGATTTAGCCGTACAGGCTAATTTTCATCTGCAGTTCTTGGCTGATGGATGAAGGTCAAAATTTCCTTTTGTCCAATACTTTGCTATATGACCAAATACTAATCACATTACACCTACTTAAGAGGACAGTTAAACCCAAACTCACAAATTCATATTTTCCTCTTACCTGTAGTGCTATTTATCAGTCTAGATTGTTTTGGTGTGAGCTATTGAGTGTTGAAGATATCGGCCGACGAGATGTCTGCCGTCTCTTGAATATAAAGGAACTAGATGGCACACGGCTTGTGGTGCACAAAGTTTCAGTTTCAGTTGAGTTAATTTTAGGAAGGGACAGTGCAAAATAATAAATACACATGGTATAAAAATGCTACAGTTAGCCAAGAGGCCATTTTTCATCTGTGGTCCCTCGGCCAAGGTGTTACACAAGGCTTCCTGAAATACAACAAAACAAAGAACAAAGAAACAACACTATGAAAATATGTTTGTAAAACTCAACAGCAATGTCTCGTTACAGAAATCGTGACCCAGTTACTCAAGATAATCCACAGACCTTGTTGTGAGCAGTTTAATGTAGAAACTGTTTTCTCTCTACTGAACAACACCCACCAAATGAATCACTGCAAAGAAGGAAGCGTGCATCTACTCATGGATGAGAGGCTCGTGCTTGTGCTTTTAGTTTATCTTTTTTTTTTTCTTGGTGCTTTGAGCAAGACAAGCTGAGTGCCATCTAGTTCCATTATATTGGAGGGAAGGCAGACATCTCTTTGGTTGATGTTTCCAACACTTGGCAACCCACCACAAAACAATCTAGATGGAATAAAAGCGCTTTAGGTAAGAGGGAAAACTATGTATTTTGGGGGTGAACTGTCCCTTTAATATACAGGCATGAGAACTGTATCAATCTTCTCATCCAAATCTGATAAGTGTATTTCCTAATAAATGGATTAGTGTTTTTACTTTAAACAGAGAAAGGGAAAATTGTGGAGGTGTTTGTTATTTATTATACATTTTGCAATAGTTTTCCAAACACCTTTTCAAAACTGCCTATAACCTCTAAAATCAGTGTACTTCACACTTTCAGAATTATTTCCCTCTCTATAGATTATTTCATCTTCTTCTTTTTTTTGGTTTTTGATTGCTGTTGTTGTTCTTTGTAAAGCATCTTTGAGTATCCTGAAAAGTGCGAAATAAATCAAATGATTATTATTTATTTATTATTACTGTATGTTGCCTGTGAAATAAAATGAGTTTGATACCCCTGATGTAGACTGAAAAACAGCACTACAGGTAAGAGGAAAAATATGTTTTTTTGATTTTGGGTTGAACTGTCCCTTTAACATACAGGCATGAGAACTTTATCAATCTTTGATAAGTGTATTTCCTAAAATGTTGCACTACTCCTTTAAATTGATGCTGGAAACTCTTTATGTGATGCTGTAAAATGCATAATTTATTAAATAAAAATGCAGTGGTAAAACTGTATCCCTGTAACTCACACCAAAAATAATGTAGATTGCAAATCAGCACTACAGGTAAGAGGAAAAATATGTATCTTTTATTTTGGGGTGAACTGCCCCTTTAATACTAACACACTGGCATTATCATTTGTATTAACATGTAGCTCAAAGCACCTATTTACGGAAGCGTATCGCATTCACTTGACAAATTTAAAAAAAAAAATCTGTTTTTCTGAGTAATTTTCTTATTTTTCTGTTTTTTGGTGTAATTTTTTTCTGGTTTTCGTAGTAATTTTTTTCTGTTTTTCGCGGTAATGTTGTTTCTGTTTTCGTGTTTTTCTTTGTTTGTTTTTTGGGGTAATTTTTTCTGTTTTTCTGAGTATTTTTTTCTGAGTTAAGAGAGCAATAGAACAACAGACGCTTTCATTCCTTTCTTGAGAGCTCGATATAATGGAAGCAAACATGACCCGCTTGTTTAGTTTAATCCAGTTTTACTTTGTTTTGGGTTTGAGACACTGGGAGATACTCTTGTCTTTAAGTCATATAGATGGTGTTATCGTTAGTTTGTCGACTTTACGCAGGCACCAGTCACTTGCAGGTGCCAGGTGGGAGCTTCTCGCGAGATTTTGAAGTATCTCGTCTCCTCGTTCAGGAAAAAAAATTACCACGAAAAACAGAAAAAAAATTACCACAAAAAACAGAAAAAAAACCCCCAAACAAACCAAAAAACAGAAAAAAGTACACCAAAAAACAGAAAAATAAATAAATTACTCCGAAAAACAAAAAAAATTACTCCGAAAAACAGGGCTTTTTTATTTGTCAAGTGGATGCAATAGGCTTCCGCACCTATTTGAGTTCAGCCTCACAGAGGAGCTGTCATATGGCTGCAAACCCTTGTTGAATAAATTAGTAATTTTCAAAATGTTAACACACGTAAGAGCCTCTTTTATTATTCTATATACTTACACACATCATATGACTCATAATTATTTAATGTGACTGTCATACTTAGTGAAACTTTTCTACTTTTGCTATGAAAAATTAAAAATAGACTTTACTCTATCAGGGTTGTGTTTATGTGGCTGCTGACATCTCATTGGCTCTCGCTTTGAAACGTCTTCTCTGATTGGCTGCTCACACAGAGCCTGTCCGGAAGCTAATTGGGTCACCTGGCAGCAATTATTTCCCACCTGTTCTTCTCTGCGTGTAGTTTTACTTCCAGGAACAGAGCAGCTGTCGGACTCAGAGGGGAGACAGCAGCAGTGTCGTTATGGACTGACACCTGAAAACTGCTGTTTGAGTTTTATACGAGTCAGCTTCACCTACATCCGGTGAGTTATCAGGAAACCATGTTGGTGTGTGCTTTATTCACGGATACAGAGGAGTTATGAGGAAAGAGTTGTTTAGTTTAGACTTTAGTGTTTGTCTGATAATGTTGTTTAGACTGGTGTGTGTGAGCCGCTTTCCTGAGAACACACTATGACCTCTTGTTACACTTTTATAGGCTTTTATTTTATTGTTTCCAGCAGCTGAGCAGGTTCCAAGACTGTGACTGACCCACTTTGCACAGATGTGTCAGGGAAATATTCTCCCATATTATGCTCTGTAAAAGCCTGGATTTCCTCTCTGAGCTGACACACTGATCACTGGTGTTTAACCACTGAATATTTGGTGGCTTAGTGAGTCCAGGTTGAGTCAGGGAAAGCACAAATATTTGTACCTAAATGTCAATAATCCTGATTTTGCTGGGACAAGGTGCCAAGCTAAACATTAATGAAATATTTCTGTTCACTCCAGCAAGTTGTGAGTTGCGCAACATGAACTTTTGTTTACTGTTAATCATTAAACCAGCTCTCTCACTGCCCTTGAACACATACTTCACATTTTTTAGACCCCTTTTCTTTTCCTTTTTTACAATCACATATAACTCGTGATTGTAGACTGTAAATGATGATTCCTCTGGTTGTAAATCTGGCTCACAAACTGCGCAGCTGTTCTCACGGTAAACACATTAAAGACTCAGAGCTGATCATCCCCCTTTTTTATAGTTTGAAGTGTTTTATCTGCCTAGTTGTAATTCAAGTGGAACGCCCGTGAACATCAGAGCGCCGGGCTGAATTTAAAAGTCGTCTTTGAGATGTGGAAGCAAGCAAAGTGACATTCCTGTCACTATTAAATCCTGACTCAGCTGTGGGTGTAGCGAGCTGTCCTGCTGCCGCCCTACAGGTTTGTTGCCTTGTTTAGGTTCATGAGAGACAGAAAGAGGGAGAGGTGTTGGCTGCTTTCAGCCTGGACACTTGTTCCTCTCTCTGCTGATGTGAATGGGTCGATGGGAGGGACAGTAATTAACAGCTATTAAAGCTTTCACCAAAAGGCCAGTGGGTGTTTTGTCAACTCGTCCTTGTTGCCAGAAAACATGAGTGAATGTTGATGTTGGTGATCAGGTTTTTCCTTCAGCTGTCCTTGTCATGTCTTCATGTCAGCAAGACTTCTTCTAAGGCTCTTTGTCACTGCCTGAGATGAGTGGCTTATATAATCCTGAAATCCTGAGTTATAATTTCCTTCCAACTTGAATATTTAAACTCTTTTTTTTTATGAAAGCAAGTGAGAGAAAAATCTGTCGGTGTGACGAGAACATGTCTAAATCAGTTTGTAAAGCTGGGCAAAGTATTCTTCATCATTCTAGAGCAGCAACTTACCTTCTTCTTTCTTGTTTCAACACAGGGACACTTATTTCTTTAAAGAAATCTTGAAACATGCTAATTTCTGTTGGAAACATTTTGACATTCTCACTGCACTCTACCTTATCGTTTCCATTTATTTTAAGAAAATTAGGATTTAATTACAGAAAAAGATGGAGACTTTTAACGGTAACAAATCAAATCCTTTTCCTTGTCAAATATGGGATGATTTTACATCTTTTGGGCTATAAAAATCCTTTAAATGAAAAAACATCAGAGAGGAAAAACCGCTCATAAATCACAGTAGACATCACTTCATTTTAAGATCAAGAGCTAACACAAAAATTGGAAGCTTGGGAAAACAAAAAACAAAAAAGTTCAGGTGATACACCCAACAAAGACATGTTACAACCCATGTATTATAATCTGTATATAAATCATGTACTTTAAAACTGTTTGTCCATATTTAAGAGGAAATAGAAAGTTTCTCTCATTGGAAACCACAGGTTTGGTGAAACCAAGTCATAGAAAAAAAAATCAAAATGTTTATCTTTTACCTTTTTTTTTTTTACTAATATTATTACTACTATTATTTTGAAATTTGACATAAGGCCACACAACGTAACTAAAGTAACAGAGAGCTCAATATACTTTACCTGCTCTCTGGGAAAGATGGGCAAGTTATCCAACATCATGTGCACCCCACAACATGCTGTATTGTTCTCATGTCAATACCACAAAAGCTCTCTGGTGCCCACTCAACTACCATGACACTACTGAGAGGAGTGGATGTGGAGAGGAAGAAAGAAAAAAAAACAAAAAACAAATCCATGTTGAAATCAGCAGAAGGAGAGCTAGTTATCGTTACCTCTAATCAGGTTACAGTGATGGGAAGACTCACCTAGGGTAGGGCTGGCACTGATAGCCAGGATTTTAGAAGTACTTTGATTTTTTTTTTGTTGTTGTTGTTGTTGTTGTCAGACATCCAGAAATGAAACCTCTATATGATTATAGTTATTTGAATTTTTCACATTTTATTCAGTTACATTTTGTATAAATGTAATTTACCAAAAGGCTGTTTTTGAGTCCCATCTTCATACTATCAGGCAGAAATACTGAATCCTAAACAGCATTTCTTTTTGGGTGGATGTCATTTTTAAATATATTAAAGGAACAGTTCACCCCAAATCAAAAATATTTTATACTGCTTTTCCTCTTACCTGTAGTGCTATTTATCAGTCTAGATTGTTTCAGTGTGAGTTGCTGAGTGTTGGAGATATCAGCCGTAGAGATGTCTGCCTTCTCTTGAATATAATGGATCTAGATGGCACTCAGCTTGTGGTGCTCAGGGAAACAGCAATGTCTCTTTACAGAAATCATGACCTGGGGCCTGTATCACGACATGAGATCAACCTTTCCTGGGTTACCCAGACCTATCCTGGGTTGACTAACCCTAACAATGGCAATCAGGATAATCGGTATCACGACGCTGGATATCAACTCGGTAACTCAACCCAGGGTTGCTTTATCAAAAGCCGTGAACGCACACGCAGCGGACCAATTACAATCATGAGAGAAGCGCAGTGTCACTGAGCGTCACTGAGCGTCACTGAGCGTCCTCACAGAGCGCCGTATGTGAGGGGAAAAAAAAGTATTTCTCGTGAGGATCAGAGATTAATTCTACTAAAATATGAGGAGGAGGAAAGCAACATTACAGAAAAGGCCAACACCGTGGCAGCTGCAGGAGGAGGAAACATGCGTGGCAACGTATAACGGGATGAATAATGTTCAGTTTTAGTTTAGATTAGTTTATTTGCACATAATGTTAAAAATAAGATTTACAAGATTAAAAAAAGAAAAGTGGCGGAGAGGTTAGAAGCCACTAAAAGCTTATCAAAGAAATTCTCCTGTCAAAACATCAATGAAATCACATAATAGAGAAGAAAAAAAAACGGGTAAGGAAAGAAGAAATAGAGGAGGAGAGAGGGAAAAATCAAGACAAAACGAGGTAGCAAATAAAATGATGTGTAGGTTAAATTACTTATCACTGGTTCAAGTAGCTACAGTACCTGTACCTGTACATCTGACACTGATCACACCCTTGAATCCCATGAAATCA